GACTGCCAGGAATCATTAATTATTATATGTAGCTGCTGTTGTCATGCAGCCACAAACACGTGCAACTCTCTCTCTGTCTAATGCTGCAAGTATTTAAGATACTTAAAACAAAAAAAAAAGACAACAGTTGGAGTTGAGGCTAAAGTTGAACTCCTGTTAACATTTTGTGGAAGCTGAGACTCACCGTTGGTTAGTCTCAGTAAACAGACTCGGTCTCCGTCGCAGTGAAAGAACTTCGGTTTGCAATAGGTGTGAAACTGCAGAGCAAAGTGACTTTGGCACACAAACCGTGTCTTTTGTTCTCTGTAATGTTTTTGGACCGATGCTGGTGTTGAAACGTGGACAAAGACTTTCCCAAACTGCTTCACACAACTTCAAGTATATCTGTTAATGTGACAGAAATATTACCAGGTGTGACATCACCATCTCAACTTTCATGGAAAAGTGGTTCTAATTCAGACGCATTGCTGTAAGAGTGGCTGAAAGGAGCTTTTGATTATTTCTAGTACCTCAAGCGTCTGTTGGGAAAAAAATTGTTATCGCACGCTGTCATCACCAATCAAATTATGAAGAGTTCATTTGCAAAAACAGAGAACTCCATTTTTGTAGATTTTCAGAAAACGTCTTTTTTTGCTGTTTGCTTGAGATGATATCAATCAAACTGAAGCTGAGTGGATCTGACTCAGTAGAAATGACAAAAATAGACATAACTGAAGGTTGATTGATGTTGTCTCAGGTGGACGATGGAGAAGCGGGTTTATGAAGGTTTGTGAAGATGGAGGAATCTGTTTTTGCAAATGAAGTCTTCATATATCTTCATTTACTTGGGTGCCTACAAACAGTTATTCATGATTAGCCAATCAAATGAAAGTACAGTACTTTGTCCATGTGTAGAAGATGCTACTAATTCTTCAGATGTTGCCCCTCTGTCATCCTCACAGTAAAGTTTGAACAGATCAGCCTGTAGCAGCCGACCTGGTATCGTCAGTGAGCTGGTATTCTTCCTGCTTACACCTCTCCATGGACCTGACCTTAATATGCAGGTGGAAGCACCACTGCAGATCTACAACATGCTCCTCTCACTTATTTACACACAAAGACAAGACAACGGAAAACTCAAAGCAGTGAAACTGTCTTTGGTGTATTCAGATGATCAGTTTTGCCCTCGAAACAGCCAAAGATGCTGAGTTCACGATTATATATAAAACAGAGAGAAAAAAGATAATCCACACAGATGAAGCTGGACATACAACCACAGCAACCACATCTCATCACAGGCATCTCACATTCAGCCAAACCTGAAACACGACCACAGTGTTGTACTCACTACACACACACAGCTGCAGCCCGACCCGTCTCTCAAACTCCATCATGAAGTTTGCCGATGACACCACGGTTGTTGGGCTCATCTCAGCAGGAGATGAGTCTGTTTATAGAGATGAGAGACTGTCAGCGTGGTGCTCAGTGGACAGCCTCACGCTGGACACCTGCTCATGGACTGTAGGCAGTGCAGAGCCGGCCCGCTCGACATTCACCAGGGCAGAGTGGAAAGTGTCCACTCTTTCACATTGTGCACATGTGTGACGAGCTCTCCTGGTCTGTCAACACCACAGCAGTGGTGAGGAAGGCCCAGCTGCCACTTTATGTCCTCAGAGTGCTCAGGAAAAACAAGCTGGAGGAGAAGCTGCTTGTGGCCGTCTACCGAGCCATTCTGGCGTTCAGCATCTCAGCGTGGTACGCCGGCTGCTCTCTGTCCTGCCAAGAGCACATTTCTAGCTCTCGTTATCACAGCAGAGCGAGTTACGTCACTACAGACTCTTCCCACCCCAGACACCTCCTGTTTGACCTGCTGCCCTCTGGCAGGCGCTACAGGTCACTCAAAGCCCGAACAAACAGACTTAGGAACAGCTTCTTTATGAGAGCTGCCACCACACTAAACAGAAGACATAACTTCACCATTGAGCCTCATAAATACACTAAAATATGTGTGGAATAAACCTCACCGATGTGACATAGCTGTGTGGAAAAAACAAAACAAAACAAACAAAAATTAAAATGCATATCCTGGTATTTATAATTCTAACTTTTGTATATATGTATATTTGTAAAATACCTCGTATTATTATATATTCTTTTTTTCTATTTCATAATTGTCTCTTAGAATATATCAACTGGATCAATGCTCAATTTCTCACTTTTGACTTTCCACATCTCCTCCTACTTGTGAGTTGGATCTTTTAGTATCTTATCTTAGAGTAAACCATCTCGAAGGATGTCTCAAAGGTGTATAGAAAATGCAAATAGCATCTGTGCATTAGATTGTAAGTTACTCTGAATACTGTTGTGTTCATCTGACAGAGATTATAAAATAGAACCGATGGACAGGTGAAGCCACATGCTGCTTTAAACCGACGTCTCTAAAGCATCTTATTTAGTTGAATGCCGGTTTGTTTTCTCTCTTCGCGTCTCTTCCTCCCCTCTCAGACAGGAGAGACTGTGATGAGAGAAGGTAAGGGCAGAAGATGTACAAAAAGGGCTGATGACCCGAGATAACATACACCAGTGACCCACAGGATGGCAGCAAAGCGCCAACTCTGTGTGGTTTGCTTGATTTTCAGAGAGAAGAAGAAAACCGGGTGACATGCAGCTGTGCCATGGAAGTCTGCGTTCATTGGCTGTCTGTGTGTAACTATGAACCAATCCCAGTGCAGACTACAGCGAGGCAGAGAGGAGCAGGAGATCAGAACTCTATGTGCTTGATTCCAGTAACAAACTGTTGTCTGCATGATTGCATTTTTTGGCCAAAGGCTGCTTTGACTGAACCTCTGTTCAGTGCAGGGTTCTGTCTGGAACGTACCACGAAGAGCAGGTAGATCAGCTCGAGCCACACGGTGCATCACAAAGCTTCACCGAGGTGCATGCATCTGCTGTGTACACAACATTGTACTGAGCCTGTGCATCAGCCAAGTCAGGAGCAGGTATCCATGACAACCACATAACCCAGCAACCCCAGCGCTTTTTGCCACCAAAGTCCAGCCCTCTGCCGAAGACAGGCTCCGTTTCCCTTCCCACCAGCCTCACGCTTCATCCAGGAGTCCTCACATCCAAACATATCAATATCTGCCGACTCAATCGTTAACGAACAGTTTCTTCATCAACATGTTTGTCAAGGTGAGTAATAAACCCTGAAATAACCTGCTCAAGGTAGGACATCGATAACTGAATTGGGCCTTCAGTAACGTATAAGGGGTCAAATCAGGGTTTCTTCATGACCCTGAGTTGATTGTTAGCGTTTATATTTCAACACAAACACTCCATTGTTGAAAACGGCCACACTCACCTTTACATCTACATTCACAGAAGCTTATTTCTCATTCACAATGTCAGAAGCTTCCAGAGTCATTGTCTATGTCTTCTTCAGACTCAACGACATCATGACTGCAGTTTCTGAATGTCAAATCCAGTTTATTGTCATGTTGCTGTACATACACAGTACTACAGGCAGGATGAGAGAGTTCTTCTTCAGGATTCAATAACTTAAAGCAATTTAAATAAAGAAGTGTTTGTATATCTGGATCAGCAGCTCAGCATTCTGACAGCTGGTGGCATGAAGCTGTTGATCAGTCTGGAGGTTCTTCCTTTAACGCTCCGGAAACGTTTTCCTGATGGCAGCAGTTCAAACAGTTGATTTAGAGGGTGTGAGGAGTCCCTGACAATGTTCAGGGTCCTGCTCCTGCAGCGGCTCTGGAGACGTTCTTGGACAGAGGTGACCCTCTCAGCTCCTCTAATTATCCTCTGCAGGGCTTTTCTGTTTGACACACTGCAGCTGGAGCACCATGTGGAGATGCAGGATGTCAGAATGTTCTCCACCAAACCTCTGTAGAAAGTCCTGAGGATGCTGACAGGGAGAGAGGCTTATTTCAGCCTCCTCAGGAAATGCAGTCTCTGCTGGGACCGTCTGATGATCGCTGTGGTGTTCTTACTCCAGCTCAGGTCCTGGAGATCTGCACTCCGAGGAACCTGATGTTCTCCACTCTCTCCACTGTGAAGCCGCTGATGCTGAGAGGAGCATGCTCAGGACGTGAGCTCCAGAAGTCGATGATCATCTCCTTGGTTTTGTCCACGCTGAGCAGCAGGTTGTTCTTGCTGCACCAGCCCTCTGGGGCTTCACTTCATCTCTGTACATTGATTCTTTGTTCTGGTGAATGAGTCCCACCACTGTGGTATCATCAGCAACGTGATGGTCTGGATCCCCTCATGTGTGGCTGCACAGTCGTGTGCTAGCAGTGTGAACAGTGGACTGAGCACACAGCCTTGAGGAGCTTCAGTGCTCAGCGTGATGGAGTTGGAGATGTTCTTTCTGACTCAAACAGACTGGGATCAGAAAGTCCAGGACCCAGAGACGTGGTGGAATCCAGGCCGAGGAGGAGGACTTTCTTTATTAGTCTGGATCCATAATTACCAAATCAGCGCGTTATAATGAAAACAATTGAAGCGTCTAACCTGTGGTGGAAGAAGCGTTTGCAGTCGTCCTGTAGAATAATTCAGTGAGTGGCTAAAGACTTTTTGCAGGAAATGTCAGTATGACGTCCCTCCTTTTAGACGGTATGCTTGGTTTTTGGAAGTATTCTCCGGCATTGGAGATATTTCGGCCTAAACTTTGGGTATTTTAACAGTTTTCATTATCGGGTAAGAGAGGCGGAGAACGTAGGAGAACGAAACGTGGACAATAGATAGTCTTTGGGTCGGACAACATTCACTGAAACTATGGAAAGATTTGGTTGGATTCTTATAGCAGTAGAGGTTTATACTTCTGACAAATTTTTAGGTGATTTTTGGTCATTTTTGTTAAAAACAAACAAACAACAACACGTTTGAGCCATAAGAGTACTGGTTTTACATGTAGCAGTCTTAAACCTCAGTCAAATCCACTTCATGCATGTAAGTCACAGAGCTTCTCTTAATAAAAGACATGCAGCCCATAGTTGGGTTTTATCTACCTCGTTGATGGCGAGCTGCTCTCCTCCACCTCCTCCTGGGTGTCCGAAACGATGTCCAGAACTGCGAAACTCTTCATACAGAAGATCCTCTTCGCTGCCGAGCTCGTCGCCCAGCCCGGCCCTCTCCGACGGCCCGTCAGGAACCACCACCGCTGAGACCGGGATGGAAGGGGAGGAAGAGCAAAGACGAGCGTTAGTCTGATTAACTGATTCATGAATTATGTTTGTAATCCAACATAAAACTGCAGGTTGACATATTTTTTTCACAAGAGAAAAATGAAATAAATAAATGAGCAGGTACGGCTTCAGAGGCCTCATATACCTACTCATACACAAGGATTTATCTACTGCGTCGCTAGATGTCCCAGTAATGTGGGACAAAACTGTCACACTGTGAAGAAACAGAATCCATAATGAATATTTTTAATGGAAAATAGAAAAGTAATGAAACCACAACAACTGTACGAGGCGTGTCAGAAAAGTTCCAGGACTGGTGTCACAAAAAAATGATTTCAAATCCAAACTATCCCCCTGGAGTCTAAAAGGATGCAATTGTCACAGCCTTCACCTGTGTGTGTGTGTGTGTGTGTGTGTGTGTGTGTGTGTGTGTGTGTGTTTCCGTCTATAGCCCAGCTGGATGACCAGCTGAGTTAGGGCCCCTGTGACAGGGCGTGGCTCACCTGTTTACTGATCATCAGGTCACCATTGTACTGCAACAGTTACACTACATGTCCACAGGGGCGACTTTAGATGGGCATTAACATGTCACTTCTGAATATCGCCCGCTTAATACTGGTGCACTAGTGGGCCACTAGGTCACAAACACCGTTCAGTGAAAAGTATGTCTGAAAACATTTGAGGCTCTGCTATGCAGTTGCTGAATCTGTCCCCATTTTAATCCAACAACGGCTGGTTTAGCCATTTTACCAAAGTTCAGAACGTGTCCAACCTCCGTGACCCGCCCCACCCCATAAAGTAGTAGATACTGACAGTATAGAGAACTGTTATCAGAGGTCTCAGAGCACCCAGGAGTCCAGACACACCCTGTCAGCAACCCTGGCATGAGAACACTTCTCCTGACTTTGGAGATCTTTCTCATGACCACCACCTTCTACATGAACACAACGTCCTCCATGGAACCATGAAACACAGGAGTTCTTCAGTGCACATGCCTCCTGTTACTGGCAGTCAGATATTAGTTAGTGAGTGTTATTCACATCTGAAAAAAGATGTATGTAATGATGATAAACTGAACTCTGATTTAAGATTGCTCACATTGAAACACAGGCACAAGATGTCCTCTGCGAGCCTCATTCCATAATACGAGGCTTTTACAAAGCAGGCTTTCACAAAAGATCCTCAGAAATGTCTGAACTCACACTTTGTGGCTACCTGGCTGATGAGCTAAAAATACTCTGCTGTCACACCTCATCGTAGGTGTCACCCTCAGCTGCCTTGCCAACAGCTGTTGCCACAGCAGATGTATTTGTGGTGACAAATCACCGTGAAGACAGAGACAGATAGAATAAAAGAGCACAGAGAGCTCCCTGGCTGATGTGGAATAGATGCACAAGGGGCGCGGTCAGACTGCAACTGAAAGGCAGTGAGATTTATTTTCCTGTTTTACTAAACAGGGACAACATGCACTCCTCTACAGTGAACATCTGAAACGACACGCAGCCCCATCTTTTAAAATACATGCAGGAGCAGCTCAGATGTAATGTAACACCACATAACAATGTCATCACTGACATGATCAGAACTGTGGAAGTTGCAGGTGCTGCTCTGACGGGGGCAGTGTGGGACGCCCTGATGGGTGATGCATGATGCTGGAGAGAGATGGAGGAGCTCCAGGTATTAACACGCCTTTACTCATGTGCAGAGAGCTCCTGCACTCATGCATACAGAGGTATAGACTGAAGAAAGGAGGAACAAAGCACTGCACTGTTATCTAGTCAGAATCAGAAATACTCTGTTGATCTGACAGAGGAAATTGTTTACTTCATAATTGCTCCCATTTAAAGTCTCAGAAATATTAACAACACAGAATATATAGGTCAACATAAGAAGAAAAATATGATCTAAAAATATAAACAGAAGTAGAAACATGTGTCCTAGAAATAGAAACATGAGTAGAAACAGCATAAGTATAGATGTGAAATGTGATTTTTTTTTTTTTTCCAGAAATAAAATGTAAGTATGTAATATAACAACTAGTGTTTTATCGCACAGAGACACATAGTTATCACACCAAGTTATTGAAAATGATTGAGTGTTAACTCAATAGTGAAGTGAATTGAGAAGCTAGTTGGCTGCGTTCACAGAAGCATAATGACCCCAGTGTGACGATGGACTCTGGGGGTCTGACCCTTTGACTGAGGAGTTATATAGTTTGATGGCAAAGAGCAGGAATTATTTCTTGTGGCACTCTGGGCTGCATCTTGGTGGGACGAGTCTATGACTGAACGGCTAGAGGCTCCTAAACAGCAATGACAACAACTAAAGCTATCTTGAGTTTGGTTCTGGAGCCCTTGCTGTGCGTGGACATGAGTCCGACTATATCTAGCCGGTACTGCTCCACCTCCTGCATCAGCTCGGGTTCCTTCCCTGCCAGTGAGGTGACGTTTCATGTCCCCAAAAGTAGTCGACACCACCAGGGGGCGGAACGCCAGGACGCCCCTCCTGCCTACTGCCCGGTGATTTCTTGGCCAGAGGGTGGTGGGCCCTCCAGGCAGCGGCCCTGTGTCGCTTTTTTGGGCTGTACCCGATCAAGCCCCGTGGGCCCCAAGGCTCAGCTACCAGACACTCTTCCACGAGCTCCCCACCTTGGGCCTGGCTCCAGGAGGAGGCCCCGGTTTCCCTGGTCCAGGCGAGGTGGCGGCTTTGCTTTGTTTCGATGTTATCAGGGGTCTTTGAATCGCTCTTTGTCTGGTCCCTCCCCCAGAACCAGTTGCTTTGGGAGACCCTACCAGGGACTGATGCTCCAGACAACATGGCTCCCAGGATCACAGGGACCCTCAAACCCCTCCACCGCGGTAAGGCAGCGATTCATCACCAAGATGTTGTCAATTGGTGCTATATGAATATTTTATTGAACTAAATTGAAAACATACTGTGGAATGTAACAGTGCCAGGAGAGGGGCTTGTCCATGCCGCGCTATCATCTACTGAGAACAAAAGCAATCAGTGTAAGTTACTGAACAGCAGCAGCTTCATGCAGGACGCTGTCACTCACAGCAGGCAGGAGAACTAAATTGCACTGTTTACTGTTTCCTTCTTGCCTGGCTGGTCAGCCTGTCCTTGAGAAACGTGTGCGTGTTTAGACTGAGATGGTGATGAAACCACAGAGGAGAACACTGATTTAAACGGGTCTGTAGGCGAACGCAGGAAGCCGAAGCAAAGTGTGTGACGGAGTTTGGACTGTAGCATTTAATCATCCTGGGCTTCTGAATGTAGGTTAGCCATATTAGTGGATCAGATTTGTCAGCACAGAGAACATTCAAGAGTCACTGGCATGAGTGTGTGTGTGTGTGTGTGTGTGTGTGTGTGGCACGTGTGGTCAGCTGAGGAATTCAAGCGTAACAGCTGTATGTGTGTGTGTGTGTGTGTGTGTGTGTGTGTGGCACGTGTCTGATAGCAGTGTGTGGACAGCCCCATGTACAACTGACTGCACTCAACCCATCAGCCCGCTAACCAGGCCGAGGCAGACAAAGATATGTGCGTTTCTATCTGTACCTTGAGGGATGAGGCCACGTTCTATTTGCTTTTTTCTTTTCTGCAAAGGCAGTGCATAGATCCAAAGCAAAACATCCATGTATTCCACTCAATTATTGTGTTTTTTTTTATCAGCATCTAATATAACTTCTCCGTCCATGCCGTACACTCATTTTTATCAGTTCTTCCTGCCTCACTCTGTCCATCACAGCTGAACTCTCTTCCTTCCTATAATTGATTTTCTGTTTAGCTTTGGATTATAAACAGGCATGCAGTCTGATATTTGTCAAAACACTGCTGGTTATTAGAGATTTGCACACTGCATGTGTAATAAACGAAGCTCACATCTTAATAGGTTTATTTAGTGGAAATATTTTCTAAAAGTCAACTGAGAGGCTTAAAACAGCATTTTAAATTAAGTTTGTAATTAGTGTAGATTTTTAAAATGTGCCATTATAATGTTAATTCACTGTGTCTTTATAAGCAGGCTTTACATGTTTTAAGTCATATTTAAATCAAATTTACTCATTAGACTAAGTGAATGGGCTGAGCCTTACTCAGAGACCCTGTGAGATGCTGACTAATATGGACGCCCAGCCTCAACTGGTTGAGCTGGAGACGCATTAACAGGAGCTGTTGTCTGTGAAGATTCTCGGTCATCCAGGTCATGGTTATTCTGGTAGATTAATCGCAGCAGTTGAAACTGAAGCTCAGGTGTTCATGTCTCCTTCAGGATATCTGGAACTCCCAACTAGTCAGTCAGAGCTGATGAAGCCTCTTGGATGAAGGTGGAACGTCTTCAAGGAACTCAAGCAAGTCCAGTTGCTACGACTAATCTAGCAGAATAGCAGGAGCTATTGTTCCTGATGCAGCAGCCACAGGTTCAAATCCAGCCCAGGGCCTTCAGCTGCAGGTCCTTCCCCCACTCTTCTCCCTACTTTCCTGTCTCCATCCTTCACTTGCCCATCCAATCAAGCCTAAAGGCCAAAAAAATAATATAAAAAACATACCAATGGATGTGATCCACAGCACATCCTTTGTTCTCAAAAACAGAATGAAACAAGTTCACAGTAATCGCTGCAACTTACACCTACAAAAACTGAGTGTAAGCAAAAGTGTTACCCACGTTCACACGTCAGAACATGAACAGAACATTTCAGATCCAGAATACTTTTATTTTGTATACAGAGGGTTCAGAGTGTCTCCCTCTGGTCATGGAGGCCTTTGCTCTGTTCCACTTTTGTTCTTGGGCCTCCAGGACTTTGATGAAAAACAGTCAGCAAATGATCCACTGATATCTAACATGCTGTGACCCCCCCATAGACATCCTTTGTTTCAGATAATCGATTATTAACACATTGACACAGACAACCCAAAATCATAGATTTCTTTTTCATTATTTTTTTGGCCTTTTATTATATAGGACAGTGAAGAGAGA